GGGGAGGAAAGGGGTTATTTCCTTCACAGTTCCATATAACAGTTCATCATCCAAAGAAGTCAGGACAGGAACTAAAGCAGGGCAGGTACCTGGAGGCAGGAGCTGATGCAGAGGCCATGGAGGAGTGCTGCTTACTGACTTGCTCCCCATGGCGCTTGCCCAGCCTGCTTTCTTATAGAATCCAGGACTACCAGCCCAAAGATGGAATCACTCACAATGGACTGGGCCCTCCCCATCATTAACTAATTAAGAAAATTCCTTATAGGCTTGCAAATCTTCTCTCTCTCTCTCTCTCTCTCTCTCTCTCTCTCTCTCTCTCTCTCAGTCAGGGTTATTCTAAATAACACTTCTAGCTGTCTTGGAACTAGCTCTGTAAACCAGGCTGGCCTCTTGTCTCCCAAGTGCTGGGATTAAAGGCCTGCAGCACTACTGTCGGGCTGTCTGCAGCCCAACCTTATGGAGGAAATTTCCCAAATGAAGTTCCTTCTTCTCCAGTGACTCTAGCATGTGTCAAGCTGGCATAAACTAGCCAGGACACATTACAATCTCAGAAATAAAAATGAAAACTAGAATTGGGGCTAAGCAGATGACTCAATGGATACAGCGCTAGCTTCATAACCATCACAACCTCAGATCTACACAGAAAGGCCCCATGAAATGCCTTGTGCATATGTGTATTTGTACATACAGCACTGGGTAGGCAGAGACAAGAGGATCCCTGGGTTTGCAGACAGGAACCTAAGCCAGTGAGAGAGCATGTGTCAAAAAACAACATATATTTCTTCAGAGGAATGATTGGGAGGCATATCTCTGGCCTTCAAATGCATGTGCAAACATAAACACACACGCATGCACACACACACACACACACACACACACACACACACAATTTATTCCAGGAATGTAATATTAGTGATGATGTGAAAATCTGTCAATGTAAATTTTGAACCAAAATTAGTATCCAAGCAGTTTTCACCATTAACAGCCTAATTTTCATAGAGAGATGGTTAGCTGAGTAGAGTCTTTTAATACTCGGGGATCTGAAGCTTGTTCCAGAAAGCCTGCTAACACCTTGAGCTATACCAATCCAGACAAAAAGGAAAAAACTGAAATCACCACAGTCATAAATTAAATTAGAAACATTGCTACACTTATCATGAATAGTGAAAGGGCCATAAGAGAATAGTATGATAATTAATTACATGAGAACAAATGAGAATACTTGCCTAAAATATTAAGTAGCAAAAACTACTGAAAACACTGAATAATAAATAAAATGAAACAGGACCATAAGTAATCAGAGGCAATGAATAAGTAATCAAATATCCTTCCTTGGTGGATTTTACCAAAACTGTAAGGAAGGATTAACACCTATATTTATCACATTATTTCTTAAGAGAAAAAGAATGAAACACATTCTAATTAAGTCTAGGAATGCAGAGTTACTCTGACACTGAGCTCAGGTAAAGGAATCAGAGAAAGAAAGCAATGCTTTATAAATGTAGATGTAAGCACCCAGAGCATATATACTTACAAGTGGAACCCAGGAGAGTGCAAACTTGAATTTGCATCATGGTCAAGAAGAATCTATCCCCGAAACATAAAGATGGTTCATTGCACAAAATCCATCAGCATAACACATTCAAAGGGAAGAAAAAGAGGGTGTGATGATTCATGCCTTTGATCCCACCATCTGGGAGGCAGAAACAGGCAGATCTCTGAGTTTGAGGCCAATTCGTCTACAGAGTGAGTTTCAGGACAGCCAGGGTTACTCAGTGAAACCAAAAAACCAAAATAAATAAAAGAATGAATAAATAGGGGAAAACAAAGCTAAATAAAACACCATATAACCATCTCCACTGACACAGAAAACAGATGGACATTATCAATCTTTCTACATGTATTAAACATACACACACATTTAGAGAGAGAGATAATAAACAGAACTTCACATCACCGAAGCTGTTTATGATAAACTCATAAGTACCGTGATACTGAATTCTAAAAGCCTAAAGCTTTCTTCTTTTTTATTTAAATTTTTATACAATATATTTTGATCATATTCTTCTCCCTCTGTCAACTCCTCCCAGATCCTCCCAACTTCTTTACTCACTGATCTTCTCTTTCTAGTATTAAAAATAAAAAAGGAAATAAATAAATAAATGAAAAGGAAAAAATAAAAATAAAAAAGGATGGGGCTGCTCAGTCTTTAAGGGTATGTACTACCCTTCACATCCATCCACACCCACATCCAACACATATCCATATAAGCAAGAATCATGAAACCATTTCTAATGTAACAAGTGAATTAACAAGAAGGTCTGCTTTTACCACTTCTATTCAAAATTGTACTGAACATCCTAGTCATGACAAATAGGCAATAAAACTAAATAACAGGGTTTCAAATTTTAAATAGTAAAATATGATTTTCTGAATTCACAGGTAAAATTAATCTTAAATGTGGAAGATTCTAAGCAAATGGATACTGCCTAAAATATGTGAAAATGTTTATCATTGCTTTCCATCGTAGACACGAAAATCAAAAATTTCTTGCTTATCCCAGTCAGAATGTATACTGTAGAGAAAAAACAAAAACAACCCCCTTAAGTACTAGAATGTGTGGAGGGTACCTTTATACACCTTTAATGTAAACTAGAGTAACTACTATGGAAATTACTATAGAAACTAGAAAATAGCATGTCCTACCTCCCTAGCTTTGATCATATGCTCCCAAAGGAATACAAATCATTATACAACAGAGATATTTTCACATTCATGGTTATTGTGGCAATTTTCCCAAAGTCAAGATTGAAGTTCCAAAATGGATGGATAAAAACGTGATACATATATACACAATAAAAATTCATGGTTAGTGTGGCAATTTTCTCAAAGTCAAGATATACTCTGAACTCTAAAAAAATAGGTGGATAAAAATGTGATGTCCATATACACAATGGAAATTCAGCCATAAAAGAACAAAATTAGATCATTAGCTGGGAAATTGGTGAAACTGGAGATGATCATTTTAGGAAAATAAGATTGTCTCAGAAGACAGCCATATAATGTTTTCTCTTATAGGCAGAATCTTAATCACAACAGAACAAGAATAAGTCATGAAGTGGGGGGGGACTATTAGGAGGGTCATAGGAAACAAAAGAGGATAGTGAGACAGAAAAATAAAGAAAAATACATGGTTTTCCATATATGGAAATAAATTTGTGCTGCATGTATGGGTGACTGAGACTGTTCATTTGCTCATACACACAGATATGCACGCATGCTCGCCTGCGCGCGCACACACACACACACACACACACACACACACACACACACACCATGAACACAGTAAGTAGGTTGTTACTTATGGAAAAGACAGGGACAAAGGAAGTGAGGGAATGAAAGAGCACAATGGAGGTGATTATCACAAAGTTAACCATATACATGTCTGAAATGGAAAAGTAAAATCCATTAACTGCATAACCCATTGCTAACTAGTAATGAGCAATGAATATTGTGTAGACAAAAAGGTCTCATGTATATTGCACAGCAGAATGACTACAGATAACAGCCATATACTTCCTATTTTAAAAGTATATTGAACGTATTCGCCAGAAAAAAAATAAGAACGTTTTAAAGACCCTCACATGTTTATCACGACTGAAATATGTAATATATATGCCTACCATACTACTTAAAGTACCTCAATAATTTGTATAGTTTTTATGCATTTGTGTAAGATATGTAAGGTGGGAATACTTTTTTTTTTTTTAAAGGAAAGATAAGATCCTAGTATATGAATGGACTTTGGGAGCACATTTAACATAGAGGGATACTCTCTCATCCTAGACACGTAGGGGAGGGCCTGGGCCCTGCTCCAAATGATAAGACAGACTTTGAAGATCCCCCATGGAAAGCCTCACCCTCCAACCAATGTAAATAGCATGCATCCACACTGCAGAGATGACAAGCCCTTCTGTTAGAGTCCCCTGCAGACCACTCACATACCCCCCACCCCCCATCCCCCACCCCCGTGCCTCTTGCAATCTCCTGACCTGTGCACCTCTCCTGTCCAACTACTTGAAAGACTCCACCCTACCTACATGACTTATGCGGCCGAAGCTGGTGGAAGTGAAGGGCGAGACTGGATCAGGAATCCTTTGCAGCAGCCCTGGTGTCTCGAGTAGCAGACCGTGTTCAGCGCCACAGGTTTTGCCGAGTGATGGTCATGAACAGTTTTAATACTGTTAACACAAGTGGGTGGCACATGCCTTTAATCCCAACACTTGAGGGGGCAGAGGCAGGCAGAGCTCTGTGAGTTCGAGCCCAGCCTGGCCTACAGAGATAGTTCCAGGACAGCCAAGGCTACACAGAGAAAGCCTGTCTCAAAAAAAAAAAAAAAAAAAACATGTCCAAATCGCCATTCTTTTTTTGGGTATGACATTTGCAGATTGCTAGTAATTTATAAGCCATGTTTTCTCATATTAAAAGCCTGTGTCTCTCCTGCTACAAGCTGTCTCGGGGGATTTGGGGAAACGAGCTAGTCCCTATATTAGAAAAATTTACAGCAGATCCTTCGTGACCTTCCACAGATCTTACCAGTCACTAAGAACCTTGAACTCTCATTGGGTGTGTGGCTTGCAGATGATTATTTCTCAACCAATAAGCTTAGAGCTCTTGAGGCCAGAGGCCGGGCTTCTGTAACTTGTAGTTTCCGCTAACCATCACAGTATATCCGGGTGTGGGGGGAATGGTCTCATCTCCACAGAAGTTTCTTATCCTCCTTGCGCAGACTCAGAGTGTCATTCCCCAGAAGACTTCCTTTAGGTGTGAGGCCCCGACCTCCGCCCTTCCCAGCATGCCCTGTGCCTACAACCTGTTCCAAAATCCCCAGTGCTCGGCTTGAGAACTGTGTGGCTGTCCTGTGACCTGCTGCCCCTGTTGCTGGCTTCAGCTTTAGTACAACTTAGCACAACTCCTGACCTCCGTGTGTCCCGTATGACATGGCCTACATCAACTATGAAGACTGGGCTGTAGGTGACTTGTGCAGCAAATCTGGTAGTGATGGAGACTTGGATCTGAGGGAAGAGTTCCTCATAGTAGCTCTGTTTTCTCTGGAGTGGCTTGTCTTTGTGGGAATTCTTGGCGTCCTGACATTCCAGATAATTTTGCAAACCATTTGGGAAAGTGAGGAGGAGGAGCAGGAGGTGGCTGACATCGCCTCCGTGTTGCTGAAACCCCCACCTTTAAATGAAGAGCAGCAGAATGAATATGCAAAAGACGATGGATTTGAGTTCGATTTCAGTGAGGATTTCTTTGAGGACTTGGACTTAAAGGAATACTTGAATGAAGAGGAGAGCAAGGAGGAAGACGACGATGATTCAGGAAATTCAAGTGTCTGTGAGTTATGGTTATATTTTGGTTCCCATCCTAGATTATGATAGATTTTGTTCTTCACTGTTATCTGATGGAAGGACCTTATTCTTACTATTGTTGAGCGTCACAGATACCTCATGGTGGGCAGGTCCTACACTGGAATGTGAAGTCTTGCAAATGAGCCTGTGAGCTGGGGAATGGGAAGGTGACCATTCAGAAGAGGGATTACCAGGCTGGGAGGCATAGGACCCAATAAACTAGGCAGCCTCTCAGAAGGCAGAAAACTTGACAGCCTAGACTAAGGGCAGGAGGAGCCAGACATTTGCAGATGGGTGGCAGCCAGCCAACCTGGGCTTGTGCAGCTGCAGACACAGAGTGATGTTCAATTTCTCCACCCTTGCTGCTGCCTTTGACACTTCTGGCTCATGTAAAAACCATGCTCAGAACTTATCCATCCTGATTAACTGGTGATTCAATTTCTGGAAATTTGGGGTCCAGTGTGCCCAAGTAAAAGCCCAAGTCAATAAAGACCCTGTAGTATGGAGAAAAAAGTAAGCTGCCTTCAAATTAACCTCAGATAAATCCATGAAAATGAACTGTTACTAGAGTACTTAAAAGATACATTAGTTATATCTTCAAGGATTGAGCAACTTCAAACCTAACATGATTTTATTTTTAATTGAAGGCAAATGAACTCATTCCTCCTCAACCCCCTCTCTCTTCTTTTCTATCTTCCCTCCGTTTTTAATTTGTATTTGCCAGACTCAAATTGATGGGCACATGAGGTACATCTTCAGATTTTAATTTTTGCTCTTTTGGCCAGGTGGTGTTGGCACAAGTCCTTAATCCCAGCATTAAGGAGGCAAAGGCAGGTGCATCTCTGTGAGTTCAAGGCCAGCTTGGTCTACAGAGAGAGTTCCAGGACAGCTAGGGCTGTTACACAGAGACACTCTGTTTCAGAAAAAAAAAGTTTTGTTCTTTTTGTTGCTCAGGTGAAAGTGTATGCACATACATATAAGAGGCCAGCCATAGGACAATCTTGGGTGTTGACTCAGAGGCATTACCCACCTTTTTGTGTGGAGAGAGAGAGAGGGGGGGGAGAGATTAGTCTCAGATGGCTGGACAGCCATTCCCGGTGATCTACCTTTCTGTGCCTTCCTGACCCTAGATTACTAGTGATGACCCGCCATGAGGCCTTTTTATTTCTCGTGTGTGTGTGTGTGTGTGTGTGTGTGTGTGTGTGTGTGTGTGTGTGTGTGATCGGTTCAAAGGATGGAACTGAGGTCTTCCTGCTTACAAGGCATTTATTGAGTGAACTCTCCTCAGCCTTTTTCATCCTATTGAAAGCATGTCTTGTTATGTTGCTTGATCCAGCCTTGAACTCGTGGGAGTCCTCCTTGCCTCCACCTTAGATGCATAAATTTTCCATGAAGTTGTGCTAAAAACATGCAGAACAGAATCAGACAATTCACTTCTGATCCCTTTTCATTCCATGGTCCAGAAATACTGAGAATTCCAGTGTTAGGAAAGAGGGAAAAGTAGTCAGTGGGAAAACTTAGAAGCAAAGAGAGCGGTAGAAACACTGTAGCAGTTACTAAGAAAAGGACCCAGGCAGTCTTTAAATTTTCCTCTCACGTTTCTACTCCCCAGGTTCAACTGTTGGCAGATTCCTATGTGATGAAGTTAAGTATAAGCTGTCTTATTACTTTCATCACCTTGGCATTCTGAAGTCACAATCATTGGTCACTAATGAACCAACTGCATATGAGTGTGAAACTTCAGATGAATCATTTGAAGGAATAGCAGATGAGGAGAAATGGGGAGAGGATGAAAGTGGAAACTTGGAAGGAGAGTCTTATGAGGACGCGGAGTTTGCAGAATGGTACTTCCCTGAGGAATGCAGGTATAGACTTAGAGCTCTTAGTATTAACTAACCACAGACTGTTGGTGATGAACGCCTTTAATCCTAGCACTCAGGAGGCAGAGGTAGGTGGATCTCTGTGATTCTGGGGCCAGCCTGGTCTACAAAGTGAGTTCCAGGACAGCCAGGGCGGTTACACAGAGAAACCCTGTCTCAGAGAGAGTGAGAGACAGAGATGCAGACAGAGAGTGAGAATAGTATTAAACCAATTATGATACACCCCTTTCATTGGGAGATTTCTGTTAAAGTATTCTGTTATAGCTAATAAACAGTTTGAAGTTAATAATGCATTTATATATACAGAAGTCAATATATTTTATATGGATTTCATTACCAGCTGCAAGTCCTTTATCCTTTAGCTATAAGACTACTACCAGTGGGACTTGATTAGCCCTGGTAATGAAGACCAATAGAAAAAGATTACCAAGGGAATTTTGGCCTTTTTTGTCCCTTGGCCACAGAATTGTAGTCTTTCATACTAACAATGCGTGGAAAGGAATTATCATTCACCAAAACAAACAAACAAACAAAAAAACTGAAAAGCTAACGGTTTCAGGTGAAACCAAGCATCATAATTAATGCATATTAGTTAGCTTATATATTTTTATGGAATAGTCAAACAAAGTTATGATGATTTTTATTTGCCACTGAACTAAGAATGAAATCTTACATCCCCCTCTATTCATCTCTGTCTGCCGTGTTCAATATTAATGTCTCTGAGTGTCTGATAGCAGTCTTATTCTTATTTGAAAGATACTGAAACTAAGGTCCTGAGAGGTTGAGGGAATATGATGTAGGGTTTTTGCTGTGATCGCGGGCATATAGGTTTATTCAGAGTTCCAGAGAAATAAATGAGCATTTATAGTGATGGAGAGAAGGGCAATGATGTTGATGTGAGTGATGCCTTCAAATGCTTTTCCATTTTGTATTATGTAAGGTTATACAATTTAATGCAAGTATACAGTGTACTTCAAGTACCTCCCCTCCATATTCCACTAGCCTCTCCTTTGTCACTTCTCCTTTCCATTGGTTCCATTTCTTTTCAAGAGGGTTTTGTAAAGACATCCCAGTCTTAAGCACCTGATAGGTGAGGGTCTGTTGCACAATTAGAAAGTGAATTAGTTTCCCATTACTGAGAGGAGATAGTTATACCAGAATTGATCATATTTAGAAAATCATTAGTGTCTTCTGATGCCATAAAAATATTGCTTGTATCTTATTTCTCCCTACAGCTGCAAAGCCTAGAAGAAAGGAATGTGTGGAGAAAGGGGGAAAAGTTATTCGTTAAGTTTTTGGAGTTTGGTCTAGCCCAGAAAATTGACTTTGTTCTACAGTTCATCAAAGAAAAATGCCATCCTCTGACATCTGACTTTACACTAACTTTTCATGGTTTCATATGGCTACATTTGAGCCTGTTAAAAATAAAAGTTTGTTTGTGCTGCATAGACTCCAGAGTTGTTATGTGAATAACAGCAACTCAGATTTAATTTTATACCTTTTCTTTCTAGATTTGCCTCAACTTACTGGCACTAAAATGAATTGTTTTCCACTCTTGATAGTGAGAAATGGAAGTCTAGTTCTTAATGCATTTTGTTGAGCCAAAAAGTACCCAGCTTACCAAGATAACTAAGATTACTAAGTGATCTAGTAATGAGCTAGTGTGAACCACTAGCAGCTTCTGGCAATTCAGTAGAAATATACATTCTACTAGAAATACACATGCTTGGGTTCTACTCCAGACGTACTGAAGCAGAGATCCTTAAAGCAGACCTTTATTTGGGTTTCTTAAGTGTTCCAGATTACCTCAGAACAAACACACTATTAGCAGTATATATTTTCTGAAATGCTTCCAAAGTTAAATACAGATTCCTTTCTACCAATTTGAAGTACAAATATACTCTCAATGAAGAATATTCAGTGCTCCTACCAAATGCTTTTATATAAAATTTAAAAGTATGCAAAACCAGTCAGTGTTTATTTTATATTTATAGTGAGAGAAATACATGCATGGAATGATACAAATGTGGCACTTAGAAAATATGTGTGAGCCAGGTGGTGGTGGCACACACCTTTAATCCCAGCACTCCAGAGGCAGAGGCAGGTGGATCTCTGTAAGTTAAGGCCAACCTGGCCTACATGAGTTCTAGGACAGCCAGGTCTACACAGAGAAACACTGTTTCAAATGAGGGGGGGGAAATATATGTGAAAATGATAAACATCTTATTTAGGACAATGATTAAAGCTTATAGAGAGAAAGGATGAATTCAGTTTGGGGCATTCACTGTGCATTTCAATTCTACTGGTAATTACATGTTCTTAGGGTAGGAGGTGTGTGTGTAGATGTAAAAGATTCTGGGAGCTGCACAAGCAATATATCTGAGAGACACAAACGAACTCAGCGAGATGTAAAACTTGGGTATTCATATTGACAGCATGGGTTCTGGAGATAGACCTCTTGAATTTGATGTGCAGCTCTACCTTGCAAACTTTGTTTCTGAGGAATTTTCTTTTTGAGGTAGGGTATCACTACATATCCCTGGCTGGCAGAGAATTCAGTAGGTGGACAAGCAGATCCTCAGATTCACAGAGATCCACCTCCCTGTGCCTCCCAAGTGCTGGGATTAAGAGCATTGTACCACCATGCCCGGCCCCAGCTCAAAATCCTACCAGATGGTATAAATTAGAGCAAATATTTAATCTTTGTACACATGGCTTCTCATATGTAGCTTGTTTATAATAATTATGTATACTATAGTTGGAGAGTTAAATGAGAAAAAATATTTAAATACAGTGTCTAGCAAATTGCTCAGAAGTTATTTAAAAACATGGTCTTTTTAGCTCTATATATTTAATAAGAGTTCTCTAACACTTCATAAAACATTGGATGAGTTGTCCTTTTTTTTCTGTTCCAATCTTAATCAATTAGGCTATGGGGAATGATCTCATGCAAATTGTTTTACCTTAGACTAAGGGCTTTAATGTGGCTTCTTCACTAGCTAAAACCAGTTGTTGTAAATTGAAGAATGAGTAGGCAATAGGCCAGATTAGTCTTTTCTTAGCATAATTCCTGGAATAACTTAAAAGACAATAGACATTTATGGGACAGAGACTGGGAAGGGAGTGTGTGGGAGAAGGCTGCAGCTGAGATGTAAAATGAATAGGTAAAAAAAGTTTTAAAAAAGAATAGAAGTTTATTTGGACTATTATTAAGAGGATGCAGTCTACCATAATAGGGAAGCTATGGCAGGGACAACTAAAGTGAACATGTGATAACAGGAGCATTTGACAGATCTATGGTGGTTGAGCTAGAAATCAGCTTAACCTGAAGTGGGACCAGGCTATAATCCTCATTGTCCATCCCTCCAGCAGCCAACTTCTTCCAGCTGGACCACCTCCTAAGGATTTCACAAACTCTCAAACAGCGCTACCAGCTGGGGACTATATATTCAAATACACGGGCTTTGGTTCCAAATATGCTCCATTGATGCTAGCAATTCTAGAACCAGATAGGGAAAAGAAAAGCCTCCCAGAGATCTCCCAGATGGCATTCCAATCAGATATTATCAAAAAGGTCAACCAAGTTACGTGATGCATGTGGTGATATTTTAATCTTTAACCTCAGCATTCCAGAGGCACAGACAGTTGGATTGGTGAAAGCTCAAGACTAATCTGGTCTACATACTGAGTTCCAGGACAGTTAGAACTACATATATTCTGTCTCAAAATAAAAACAAGACAAATATAAAATCAGGAAAAAAAGATAGTGTACTATTTAGTGTTACAGCCCAGAGACCTGCTGCATCATGGGATACTTAGTTTGGGTAAAAGCTTCCAAAGGAATTATTATGCATTGTGGATTCGAGTCCTTTTCCAGAGAAGAGAAAGTGTACATTGGTCTATATAGCTCTGAGTCCCCAGACACTTTGTGGAATTAACATGTATAGGATTTCATTCTATGGTCCAGGTATTTTGAGTATGGGACTCATTGTTAGGGAGTTCTTCAGTTCTTGACATACCGCCCTCACAATATTTGGAGTATTCCTTTCTGCAATAAATCTTTATTTTATTTTCAGTGCTGAAGAAAAAAACCCAGGATCTGTTACATGCTCAGTAAGTGAGCTACAATTTTTTTTGTAAACATGGACTTTCCAGAGTATAACTCTACTCTGCACAAATTATCCCTGCTGAAAAGTGTGTCATCTAGGACTTCATACCAACCTCTGTATCATAACATACTATTTAACTGGAGAGATAGGGTCTTCTGTATGTTATTCATATCACTCAGTAACTTCAGAGCCAGGTGTTTGTGACAGTAGGAACACTTCCATAATAAAAATCAAAAGATTTCTGCCACTAAACTCAACAGATCATTTTGCATCACTGAGCCAAAACTTGTGAAGCTAAACAATTGCCTCTAGCTATTAATGTTGATGACTCATCTCAGCTTTTAAGTGCAAACTATCTTGGATAGACCTTAGACATAATGACTTTCTCCCAGAACAAAATTCATTTAATGGAGATTGTTTGCATCCAAGCTCCCCTACTTTATGGCTATTATTTTCATTTTCAGTTCTGCACCAAAGTCTGAGTCTCCTTCTGCATGGTCTTGTTTCTTCCCACTTTACTTTCTTTCTGTTGACCCCTAATAGACCTCTTGGGCTTCTATATCGCCCACTCAATGTCAGTTTCTTGGAGGGCCCAAATGATACAGTCCCTTACTAGAGTCATAAACATGTTTTGTGGGTAGTAGTAGGACATAAACTCTATCAGTGTGTGCTTGTCCAAGGAGAGATAATGAAAACAATATGTTTCTGCTTAGTCATTTTGCAGTGCAAGTGGCTAAGTACTTCTATCATCATAGAATTATTAAAACAACTTTAATTTTTATGAGATTCTAATAAATTACATAAGTTCTCCTTCCCTTTGTTCCTATGTAACCCTTTGTTCACCTATAAATGCAACTTGCTTAGTCGTTATAATAT